CAGGCAAGAAAAGCCGTAAAAAAAGAAATTTCCTTGCAGTTATTACGCATCGGCCCGCTATCCTCATCACTAATTTTCTGGGCTTCACTATGAAATTTTTCACTAATCACTAATTTTCAGGACTATTTTCACTTGCTCTTTCACTATGAAAAAGTGAAGAAACAGACCACCGTACAACTGGCTATCCTTCCCAACATTTTGCAGTAGAACACCACCTCCTGAGTTTGAAATGTTCGAAAGCAAGTGTAACAACTGGCAAAAAATTTGTGCAGAGCAGTCGTACATCTACTTTAACGCACTACAAAATTTCGAAGTGAACGCCCATTTCGAAATGAAGAGTGATGTCAGGCTCCGGACATCGGGGAAGACAAGATGTTTTAACTTGCACTATCAATGGCAAAACGACGAACAAAGCACAAAGCAAAAACCACAGGAGCGGTGTGTTAAGGCGACAATGCGTATGCACTGACTCGCACAATTGGAGCTGTTTTATGTGTTGTTCTCGATGCCCATTTGTTTGTTTGCTTAATGCCAGTCCGAGCACGCGTTTCTGCTGCTGCTGCACTGTGTGGTGCCGAAAAGAACTCATTTTTGGCCAAATCGGCAGAAACAAACAGAAACGAATAATCTGAGTGTTTTCAGTCCTTGACAATGCCCAAGAACACTTACTATTTAGCATCCCTGAAACTACGCAGCAAAACGTCATTTTTGGCGACATTCAACATTGACCCTTTAGCTGCTGAAGTCCTGAACGCCCTTTCCGAAACAACAACAGCAGGTGTCCATTTTCCTTTTCGTGAACTGTCCTCATAAACAGCAACAACACTGCCCACCACATAATCCTGCAAAACAAAATGAAATACACAATTAAAAAATGCTCTGAAGAAGCCCCTGTCTTATTCGCACTCTATAAAAGAAACGGACATATTAGTCCTGGCGACAACTCGTTAAAGCTGCTCAAAGCAACGAAACTTTAGCAAGCCCTATGATGTACAGCGTATCAGTAGCAATTTGTCACTGAAAAAACCACGAAGCAAATCACCTCTCCTGGAAGTCACTGCAAACACATTCCTATAACAGTACAGCAACCGTTTCAGGGAGAAAAACAGCAAATTTAGAAGTGAACAGCAAAAGGCGCGCCCTGTCCCGTGTATCTTGTCAGACAAGCCATAGTTTCTCCGTAACGAATTCAGCCATAAAAAAAAAA